TTCTTGCCTTTGTAGTCCCTCCTTCCCCATTTGGGTATCCAATGTCCAAGTTGCCCATCTCTGTCCACTCTGTGTGTGGAGGGGGTGGGAATGTTTCTTGCTGTAAGGATTTGTTGCCTCCCCTGCATTCTCTTAAACTGAACTCCCTCTTGAAACCTTGTAAGCCAGTCACTTCATATCTTTATTGCCCCCTCATTATAGGTAGCCAATGTCTAAGTTGCCTGACCCTATCAACCCTGTGTATAGAGGGGGATAGGATTGATATTTGATGTGAAGACTCCTTCTCTCTCAATTGGTGTTTTGAGCTACTACTTCCATAATAGGTGTAGGTCAAGTTCATCAAATTGTAGCAATTTATACTTACTTCATTTATCAAAAATTGGTTTGGTTTTTTTTTAGTTCCTCTAGTCGAATTCTGATTACCAAGCTAGGTAGAATGTGTACTGTGTGCAAGTTTGGGTGTTCTTGTGCGTCTCTCCTCACTTCATATCAGTTGGATGCTTTAAGCTGCTATGCTTTGGAATAACTTGTTATGTAACAATACATAAGCTGTCATCAGCTCAGCAGTCTTTCACCTGGATATTTATCCAGGAGGGGAAATTGATGGTCATGCAATCTGAATGCTTATAGTGACTTTATTCATGAGCTCCAAAATTTAGTAACAATGAGAATACCTTTCAACTTGTGAATGGATACGTTCTGTGATACAACTTGTGAATGGATGCAGTCTGTGATACAGCCAGACAGTGGATTCCTGTTGAGCAATAAAACAGAACAAAATGCTGATAATATGCAGCATCAAAGATTAATCTCAAATTTTTAGACAAAATAATTGATCTCACTCAAAGCAGCCAGTCTCAAAAGGCTATCTACTATATCATTCCATTTATTTTACTTTCTGGAAAAAGCAAAGCTCTAGAAAGCAGACCAGTGTTTGCCCGGGGCTGGTGGTGGCTGGAAGGGTTGGCCACAAAGGGTCATAAGATATCACTGCAGAATCAAAATGGTTCTAGATTTAATTGGGTTGGTAGTTATATAATTGCATGTGTTTGTTCAAACTCATGGGATTTTACAATAAAAAGAGTTAATTTTACTGTATGTACATTATACATTAATGAATAAGTTTAAACAAAAAAAAATCCATTTGATGAAAATGACTCATAAACTTATGGGTTGACAATGAAAGGTTTGGGATAGGTAAAATTTGGGGTATAAAATTCTGTGAGTTTAAACAAATACATAGAATTATGTAACTTATCACCCCATTCAAGACCTGGAAGAGTTTCAACACTGAAGGTGGTACCTTAGATTGTGGGCCTCAGAAGGTTCATGGAACAATTCTGTGACCTGTTAATTCCATTTTTCCACAAACGTTTTGAATCACTCGTAGTAATACTCTCTCCTCCGTAAGTGCTCTCGAACCGTGAGCTGTGAATGCCTTCAAATGTGAGAACACAGGAAAATCTCTGAATCATAGCTTACTACTGAACTGGAAATGCTTGTATTTATCCTTATAGGTCTTATGAACTCACCCGGAAGGACCGACTATATAAAAATGTCATTCGAATGCAGCACACGCATGGATTCAAGGCTTTTCACATCCTGCCTCAGACCTTCCTCCTGCCAGCTGAGTACGCGGAGTTCTGTAGTAAGTGCTTGATGGGGAATGCCACCGCAGTCCCCAATGACTAAAATTGTGGTAAATTCATCCCACTGGCTGCCTCAACTCAGTAACCAATTAGGACTTTTCAAATCTTGGAAAAATTGTGGTTCTCTAGTGAAACGTTTGTGGCGATAACTTGAAAACTCTGTTTTCATTCCGATCATTGACTTTTAGTAAGCAGGTCAGTATCATCTACAGAAGGACACAACTGTATCTTATCAACATGCTCCTATCTTGTGTGCTTTTTCTTGGATGTCCCTTCTCTGATTAGAGCTAGGACCTGTGTGAGGACTCGTATACGTTTACATATGAATGACATATGCTTGCTTTGTTGTGTGTCTTGTGCCTGTTGCCTTGATTTCTGGACTTGTGTAATTTTTCTTCTTTGGGATATGAGCATCCTGTATCTTTCGGTATTAGAGTTTGGAGGTGCCAGTTAGTCTCTCCTTCCTTTGTGCTCAGACTAAATGAAAAATGCACTTGGCAGCCAAATAGGGCTCTAAGTGTTAGTTCATGCTATAAACTAGATGGGAACACATATAGCCTGCGCCCAGGTCTCAAATGGGCGGCATTTACTTTTGCCTGCACGTGAGCTTACTTATCCAGGCCCAGGCAGAAGAGCCGGGTACTTCCAGGCTTCTCCTCTTGTGGGCAGAGCCTGACTCAGTAGACTTCATGCACAGAAGAGAAGAGGCAGTAGTATACTGAAAGTGTGGGAACCAGACAGGAGGCAAGTCTTCCGTGAGAGTCTTAAGTAGAAATATTAATAGCGAGCAACTAGTGAACAGTTGGACTCCTGGTGTGGCACTCTAGGGTCAACACTAGGCTGCTGACCACAAGTTCAAACCCACCAGCTGCTCTTTAGAAACCCTGTGCAGGGTCACTAGGAGTTGGAACCATTTCGATGGCAGTTAACAAACACCAAGTGAGCAATTACTTTCCACTAGGCACTCTTCTCTATGCTTTATATCTGTGAGGTACAAAACCAGCTCATTTTGATTCATGGCAACTCCTGTGTGTCAGAGTAACCGGGACTCCATGACTTGTCACAAGTAGATTGTTAGCTCTTTTCCAAGGTGCCTATGGGTGGACTTGATCCTCCAACCTTTTGGTTGACACCCAAGTGCATTAATTCACTGCACCACCCAGGACTCCCACCCTTTGAGATGGGCACCTTTATTAATATCAGTTTTGCAGATGAGGAGATGAAGAAACTTTTCCATAAGTTATGAAGCTTGCAAATGATAGAACTGGGATTCAAACCCAGGCAGTTTGGCTTCAAAACCCATGCTCTTCACAACTGTTCTTATTGCTAAAGACATTTGACATCTTGCATGCAATGACTGGTTTCCCAATATTGCCAATGAGAGGAAATCACCTTTCCCATAAGAGGCTTGGATGAGACACACAGAGAGGGCAGACACACAGGATCTTTTTTGTTTTTTTCACTCTCTCAAAAAGTCCAAGAGGCAGAGTGGTGGTGGTGGTATGCTGTCCAGTTGCTTCCAACACATAGCAATCCTGTGTAGAGTGACCATGGCTGGACGTCTATACAGGAGCAGAAAGCCTTACCTTTCTCCCTCGGAGCAGCCCCTAGATTCAAACTGCTGACCTTGTGGTAGCACACTATACACCAGGCCTCATAACAGACAATCTACTAGTATTTTAATTTATTTAATTGGAAGAGGAAGTGGTATGGAAAGGGGAAGGGAGACAGTTCTCCCTAGACTTAGTGATTTGGGATTCTCTTAACCTGTTGGGCTTAACAGTCTGATCTGGTGATACTCTGGGGATTTGTTCCTTGGGGAGGAACTCCTACTTCCATCGTGGTGAGGCTATTTCCCCTGACAGAATTTATTGCTCCAGCACCATTGGTTGACAGTTCAAGGTTTGTTCATGGAAGGCTCCAAGATGGGTCAGAATACAGCCTTAATTTAAAGTTACTTTAAAACAAGAGTGTGCTAGTAGTTGGAATTTTGTAGTTAAAAATTGTTGCTAAGACACTTCAGCCAAGTGGCTGCACCTCTGTATGCCTCGGCCACCTTATCTGCAAAGTACGACTGCTGCAAGTATGGACCTTACAGTGTTGTCAGATGCTTTTCTTTGCTTCCTATGGCTGCTATAACAGAAGACCACAAAGTGGATGGCTCAAAAGAACAAAGATTGATTTTCTCACAGTTCTGGAGGTTAGACGTTCCAATTAGGGCCCTGTTGATTTCCCCTGGTGGCCTTGAGAGGAACTGCTCCATGTCTCTCTTTGAACCACTTGTGAATTACTGTCTTCCTGCTCCCTGAGCACAGTCTGGTATGAAAGTTTTCATTTCTCATGTGAGCTGAGGTGTTGCTTAAGGAAAGGAGTCTGGTTGGGAGGTGGAGCTTTTGGCTCACTTTGTCACTGCTGTGTGAACCTTGGGAGGTTCCTAGGTTAATGTCGGTGAGACTTTGTTCAGGTTGCTAGGTGGATATTGACCTGATTTTGTTTTTCTTGTCTCATTCAAGTCATTATTGTGAGGGGAAATGGTGGGAGAAACACCATGAGTAATTGTGCCCTTTCCTTTTTCTTCTCCTCCTCTTTCTTTTGGTTTTAAGGCTAGTTTTTAAGCTGGTTTTCTTCAGCGGAAGCCTGGGCAGTGCAGTGGGTTAAGCATTGGGCTGAATTGTGAACACACCAGTGGCTCCACAGGGAAAAGGCGAGGCAGTCTGCTTCCATCAAGGTTTACACAATGGGCACCCAATGGTGCAGTTCTGCTCTGTCCTCTGGGGTGCTGTGAGTTGGAATTGACTTGACTACAGTGGGTTGGGTTTGGTTTGGGTTCTTCAGTAAGAAATGTGGAAAATTCTTGGGGAACTTGAGGATATAACTATTGAAATTTAAGCTGATAAATAACTTTTTTTCTCTTTGTTTCTTCTCCCCTCATGCTCTCCTCCCCATATTTTGAGCAGATTCATATTCAAAGGATCGGGGACCTTGGATAGTAAAACCAGTGGCCTCCTCTAGGGGTCGGGGTGTCTACCTAATCAACAATGTAAGTATGCAGCAGATGGCAAACCTCTCTCGTTTGTTCTTCTCTTCTCTGAATATTAATAGGTTTCTATGCATTCAGAGCAGGGCTTCCTCCTGTACAGTCAGTAGTATGGAGTATTGACTGGAACCCCCTCCTATCCCAACAGTTAGTATTCCATGGATAACACTTCACTTGAGGAAATTTGTGGGGAGGCATGTTTGGTCAGGAGATAAAGGGGTTAACATTCTATTTTCAGAATACTGTTGTGGTCATTTTTTAGCTGTAGTGCTAATCACAAGGTTGACAGTTCAAATCCACCAAACTGCTCCTAGGAGATGGAAGCTACCCGACAGCACTAAATAACATCAGCAACAACAAAAACATTAATTAAGTGGCCCTGGTGGTGCACTGGTTAAGTGCTTAGCTGCTAACCAAAAGGTTGGTGGTTCAGATCCACCCAGCAACTCTTCGGGAGGAAAAACCTGGTGTTGTGCTCCCATAAAAGTTGTTGTTGCTTTTAAGTGATATTGAGCTGGTTTCCAACTCATAGAGACTTTGTATAAGGTTCGAAGGAGCACCTGGTGGGTTTGAACCACCAATCTTGCTGTTAAACAGTCCAGTGCTTATCCTACGGCATCATACCTAGGAAACCCTATAGGGCATTTTGACTCTCACAGGGTCACTGTGAATTGGAATCTACGTGGTTGTTAGGAGCCAGCAAGTCAGTACTGACTCGTAGCAACCCTATGAACAACAGGAATGGAACACTGACCAGTCCTGGGTTAACCTCACAATTGAGCCCATCACTGCATCCATGTTCTAATCCATCTCCTTGGGGTCTTCCTCTTTTTCTCCAACCCTCCACTACCAAGCATTATATCCTCCAGTGACTGGCTCCTCCTGATAATATGTCCAAAGTATGAGAGACAAAGCCTGGCCATCCTGGCTTGCAAGGAACCCTCTGGTTGTACTTTTTCCAACACAGATTGGGTTGTTCAATTGGCAGCCCATGGTACTTTCAGTGTTCTCCAACACCATAACTCAAATGCATCAATTCTCCTAGGGTCTTTCTTATACACTGTCCAACTTTCACATGCATTTAAAATTATTGAAAATACCATAGCTTGGTTTAGATGTTAGTTCTCAAACTGATAGCTTTGCTCTTGTACACTTTAAAGAGGTCTTGTGCAGCCGATTTGCCTAATGCGATAGGTCATTTGATTTCTTGACTGCTGCTTCCATGAGTGTTGATGGTTGATCCGAGCAAAATGAAGTCTTTGACAACTTCAATCTTTTCTCCATTGGCATGGATGCTATTAGTCCACTGGTGATGATTTTTGTTTTCTTTACATTGAGATGCAACTCATACCGAAGGCTATGGTTTTTGACCTTCATCAGTAAGTATTTTAAGTTTTTAGCAAGCAAGGTTTTGTCATCTGCATATCGCAGGTTAATGAGTCTTCCTCCAATCCTGATAACACGTTTTTCTTCATTTAATCCAGATTCTAGGATTATTTTCTCAGCATACAGATTGAATAAGTATGATGAAAGAATACAGCCCTGGCACCCACCTTTCCTAATTTTAAACCACTCTGTGTTCCCTTGTTCCGTTCGAACAGCTGCCCCTTTTTGTCTGTGTACAGATTCCTCATGAGCACAATTAAGTGTTCCAGAATACTCATACTTCACAGTGTTGTCTATAGCTTGTCATGATCCACATCGAAAGCCTTTGCATAGTCAGTAAAGCACAGGTAAACATCTTTCTGGTATTTTCTGCTTCCAGTCAAGATACATCTGACATCAGTAATGATCTCCCTTATTCCATGTCCTCCTATGAATCTGACTTGAACCTCTGGAATTTCTCTGTCAGTGTATGCTTGCAGCCGTTTTCTGTATTACCTTTAGTAAGACTTTGCTCGCATGGGATATCAAAGAGATTGTCCAATGATTTCCGCATCCACTGGGTTACCTCTCTTTGGCGTGGGCACAAATACGGAACTCTTCCAGTCAATTAACCAGGTATTTGTCTTCCATATTTCTTGGCATTGATGAGTAAGTGCCTCCAGTGCTGCATCAGTTTGTTGAAAGATTTCAATTTGTATTCCATCAGTTCCTAGTGCCTTGTTCTTTGCCAGTGCTTTCAGTGCACCTTGGGCTTACTCCTTCAGGATCATCGACTTTTGATCATATGCTGT